TCGGACTTCCAGGAGACCGAGGACTGCGGGAGGCAGTCCATGAAGAGGAGCTCCTCTGGGGGTGCTCCCCTGCAGGCTCAGCCTGTGAGGGAGGATGGATGTCGTCGTGGGAGAGAGAGACCCTTTTCTGGGTGCTTGGACACAGGAGTTTGGCCTGTCAGAGGAAGGAGATGCATGCCGATGAGGGAACACCCTTTAATGGGTGCTTGGACACAGGCGTTCGGGAGGTCAGAGGAGGAAGATGCATGCCGACAAGGGACGATGAAACTGTGGCAGAGCCTCACAGTTCAGCAAGGAAACTGAATTCCTGCTTCAAAGATGATTGATGAAGAAATGAAGAATTTTAACAAAAAGCCACAATCCACCCAGCCTGGTGGGGAAAGGATGGCTTGAAAAGAAGATAGTTTTAGACATTTTCATGTCTTTATGAAGATTTGGACCAAAAGGAGACTGTTTATATACATTTCCTTGTCTTTTATGCTTTCCTGAGTCACAGAAGATTTGATCAAGAAAAACATTGTTTATCTGAATTTGTCCTATTTCTCTCTTTGAGAGGAACAAACGATGGCCCAATCTGCCACCGCCCTACCCAGAGTCAGCTGAGCCAGATTGCGTGAGAAAAATATTTGTTGTTCAGATCAAGAGCTTAGCTCAACCATAATAATTTTAATGAGTATGATCATTCTAATTTATGTTAGAAATAGTAGTTGATTTATTTAGATTTTAAGCTAATGAAGACAATTATTGATTATTTTAAAGTTTATATTTTATTGCTTGTTGCTTTGTTGTAGCTCTATTAAGCTTCTATATTAAACTCCTGAAAAGGTTTAATAGTCTTTGTGGTTATTGAGTCAAGATTGGATGATGCTGATTCTTATGATTTTAGTGGGTTTAGACTTTTAAGTGGTAATTGTTAAAGTTGCACATATCGCACAATTCACAGTGAGTGTTCGATTACACAATTTGCAGTGTTAGTAGTATGCCAACCCTCTCTGCAGTTAAAAGTTTAGACTGTATGAAAGCTACATTGGTGTGATCCCTATACCCCATCTTATGCACAATTCTTATCGCTCTTTTTTGTAATATATACAATGGTTGAAGTGAGCTTTTATATGTGTTTCCCCAGTTTTCAACGCCATACTCCAAGTATGGTAAAATCAGTGAAGAATACAAAATACGGAGTGCTTTCCTGTCCAGAATATATCTAACCCTTGCCAATATCGATATGTTTTTTGCTATTTTGTGCTGAATATATCTAATATGAGATTTCCAGGTGAAATTATCTATGACACCTAGAAATGTAATTTCTTATACTCGTTCAATATTAGCTCCCCCGATTTGCAATTGAAGTTCGTTATCTAGTCTACGATTCCCAAATACCATAAATTTAGTTTTATCCATATTCAGAGATAGAATATTACTATCACACCATTTCTTTATCTTCTCAAGTTCCTGTGAAACTTGTTTCGAGAGTAGCTGTAGGTTTTCCCCGGATGCCCATATGGTAGTGTCATCAGCAAATAAGACCACTTTCACTAAATCCGAAACCTTGCATATATCGTTTATGTATAATATGGATAATTTAGGTGCCAAAACTGAACCTTGAGGCACTCCACATACAATGTCCAGATCACTCGAATGATATTCACCCAACTTTACAAATTGAAGTCATGTCTTTATGAAGATTTGGACCAAAAGGATATTGTAAACAGTTTAATGTCTTTTATGTTTTCCTGAGTCACAGGAGATTTGACCAAGAAAAACATTGTTTATCTGAACTTGTCCTATTTCTCTCTTTGAGAGTTTTGAGGATTAAACTGGATGAGCTTTGATATTTTTGTTTATAAATTCTTTTCCCCTTGTGAAAGCTTGAATCATGGCAAAAAGGAAAAAGAGGAACAAACGATGGCCCAATCTGCCACCGCTCTACCCAGAGCCAGCTGAGAGTCAGATTGCATGAAAAAAATCTTTGCTGTTCAGATCAAGAGCTTAGCTCAACCATAATAATTTTATTCAGTATGATCAATCTAGATTTATGTTAGAAATAGTAGTTGTTGGTTTATTTAGATTGTAAGCAAATTAAGACAATTATTGATTATTTTAAGGTTTATATTTTATTGCTTGTTGCTTTGCTGCAGCTCTGTTAAGCTTCTATATAAAATTCCTGAAAAGTTTTAATACTCTGTGGTTATTGAGTCAAGTTTGATGTTATTGACATTCTTATGATTTTAGTGGGTTTACACTTTTAAGTGGTAATTGTTAAAGTTGCACATATTGCAAAATTCCCAGTGAGTGTGATTACCCAAGTCTTAGTGAGTGTCTGAGGTTCACACAACAGTTCACAGGTTTGAGAAGGCCAAGATTGAACTGCTAAAATGATTTTAGACAGATACATCAGAAAAGGGTTAATCTAAAATATCCAGTTGTTTACTTGTTACATAATACACACTATTCTTTAAATATCCTATCCTTATTAACATCCTATGTCAACTAAATACTGTGCAAAACAAATATGGTCTTAAGTGTCCAGTGACACAGCTTTTATTGGTTATTTCAGACTAAATTTAGCACCTCCTCAAAGAGCCAGAGCGTACTGGCTCATACAAATTTCAATAAACATTACAATAAACTGCAGGTTGTTATTGTTTGGGAGGTTTGGGGTCTTATCCTGAATTAATAACATGAAAGAGGGAGGTCTACAGGGAACTTTGTTCGCAGGTTCATGGTAGTCAATTACTGAGTGAATATCTCCGTCTTACAACCTCAAGCAGTGTTTGGAGCTTTAATATGTTTCAAATATGACACCTTAGTGTGAGAGGTTAAGCTTTACTCCTATGTCCAGGGGTTAGCATATTGTGGCCTTCATACAGTATACTGTATCTGAGTGTTTGCATATGTCCATATCTGCATGCTGGAGTGTGGCATTTTCATTAAAAGAGCAGGTCTCTGATGGGAGATGGGAAGCTTCTAATTGGAATCAGCTTTGAAATGGTGGTAGAGAAGGTCTGAATAA